ACTGTATTTCGAATGTGACGTCAGCGCGTTCAAAGGAAAAAGGAAGCGGAGAGGGCGCGTAGTGATGTATGATCGACCCGTCGAATCGATCCTCAGTGTGAGTGCTGCGCTTGTCACTCGTTCTTCGCTCGGTCGACCATAGCGCTAGGAAGAGGCAAGACAATGTTGACTTGTGTCTTGTCAATTTCCTTCGAATCAGATGAGCTTCCACACAGCTATCCCCGTTGATGACTAGCTTCTTACTGTATATGAATATTTTGACCAAGAAATTGCTGCCCCAACTTCAGGCTTGCTCATAAAATCTTAGTATAAGGTCTGATCAAGTGGCTTTCCAAATTAAGACGCTAACTGTATTTTGCTCCTATAAGCTATGAAAAGTACAGTACTCGAAAAGTACAGTTGTCCACACTACCCTTGAAAAAAATACAATTAATTGAGTACGAATTTAATTAAGGTGCAGGATTTATTCCATAATACCATTCTGTTATTCGTCCCGTTTTGGCGATTTTGTCCCATTTCAAATATAGTCTATGTTTGTTCATCCCACAATGCGCCAAAGTCGATCAGAAATTACTGCAGAAGTATAGGCTGTATTTTTGGTCCTACAATAATGTTTGTGACATTTTTTTTTATTAGAAGACATTAGAGGAAATTCTCTGTTTCAACAGCTCCAAAGCGTCATAAAATTCATTACCATCAGCATTTTACAATTCTCTGGTAGATGAATGCCTCTCCAGTGCTTAGCAAAAAATTCTATCTTCTGCGATCCACGTTCATCTTGATCCGATGATTTTTTTCCACCTCATTCTGCCATCTGTCTGAAAATTGTCATTCGAGCGGTTTTATTTGTTTTGGAGCTCAGTCCAATCTCACTTTTGCCCAGCGATGGTCTGCTCTTCTTCTCCCTATCTTTTCCACCATTATTTCAATATTTTAACTCTTGCTTAATCATGTTGATACTCTTATTCATTCTTTAATGTGCATGCTACTTGTTTTTAATCCCAATGTAACCTTCCATTTAAGATTCATAATAAACTTTATCCTTGAAGAGTTATGCACCATTTAATGTTGAATGCCACAGTTTAAAATGGCCACTTGCATTTTGTGAAGATGAAAGCTCCTACTGCCTCTCTCATAAATGCGATTGTCTTGAGATGCCTTTTTGAGTCAAAAAATGGAACTTTTCATTTATGGTCAAACAGAGAAAAGTTTTCTGAGCATGTTTCATCAGACAGACGCTACCTGTAATAAAAGCGCAAATGTTTGACATCAGGAAGTCAATTACTCAGAACTTTCATGTAAATGATTCAAAAGACACTTTCATCCCGTTGTTCATGGCAAAAGATTGTTCCACTGAAAAATTTAATTAATGAGCGAAAGCTTTTTGTGACTTGTGTATGATTTTCTATACCTTAATCTATATTCCGTAGGTAGGTTATAAACTTTAATTCAAGACCAGTGTTTTTCTCGAATCTTCCTCTAGAAGACACTAGATTTAGCTTAAATTTCATTCATTGAAGACATTCAGCAATTGTGAAAAACAATGAATCATATTCACATTCCCAAAAACAAATAGTGATGAAACAGTCGCCAAAAGCGACAAAAGAATGGTATCCAGAATTGAAGGCGCACCTGTTGCCTTTTGTTGCAGTTTTATGTCTTGGGAATGCACACCTTAACTGCTGATCAGACAGAATAATCGAACGGTCACAGTGCGTGCTAGATTCAAGTAGGAAGTACGATGGAATTGCATATTGCGGTGCTGACAGCATGGCTACCTTTGGCGAGCCTGGTGTAGGAACTTGGAAATATTTGAGGAACGACGAATCAAAATGGAAACAGC